GTGCCACTCGCTCTACATCAGGGCCACAATTGCCGACGCACACACACACTCACATCCATTTCACTTTGGCGGCCGGACCCGTGTCGCCACAGTAATATGTGTGCCGTCAATCCTGGCTCCCAGCTGGTGGCCGGACCAGTGCCACTGGTTCTCCAAGAGGGCAGCCACAGCCACAACGACGACGAGGTGCTAATTGCAGCTACCTCTGACGACTCCGGATGACGCCAATTTCGACGACCAGGGGGGACGACGGGGTCGGCCGGTATGCAACGCAATGTCTTTACAAGCATTGTGTTTTGCTATGCCGGCCGATGCTTCTTGTCTTCCCTGTAATTATAGTAAAAGATATAGACATTATTTTAAATTGTTATGTTTATTGTAATATTGTAAACGTAAATCAATTGTACCTGTTTTGTCTCGTCTTTGTTCCAGTGTAGTATCTCTTTTATTACCTGTTTTTCCGTCGTCTCCACTCCAGTCTATTACTTATCTGTATTGCTATTTCTGCAAGTGCTTGTCTCTTTTATTTAGTGCCTTTCCACTTATTTTCCATGCAAAGCACCTGCATTGTTTACCTTTTCTCTTTATCTATTCCTCAACTGACTACGTGTTGCAACACATACCGCATTAGAACCAACAAAACATCAAGTTGACAAATTCACAGGGGATCAAATCAAATTTTAAGTTAGGGAAAATTACAAAGAAGAGACAGCATACTTTTGAGCGTGGCCCCACTTTACTTTCTTGACTCACACCGCACACACACACACTTGACACCCTCTTGACAATTCATACTTTTGGAGCCTTTTGCCCCGATCGTGGAATCGAGTCTCGAGTCTGGATCTCTATCCAAATGGAAAGTCGTGTCGTGAGCGTTGTGGAGTCGAGTCGTGTTTGAGGTTTAGTCCCTCCGTCAAAGTGCCGAAAAGTTTATCTCTCTCTCTTTCTCTTTTTCCCTTGCCCCCCCTGCTGACTGCGGGCCTAGTCGAGGTTACAAGTGTTTAACGTTGCTGCAGTTTATATGTTTGTAAATTATTGTGCCATTAAATGTACCAGTAAAAAGTGTTTGAGTGCCGTTTAAAAGTTAAATTGTAAAAAACAAACAAACAACGAGGGGGAACGTTGTGAGTTGCTGCGGACACCGCAACTCTAAGGTTATACCCGATACTAAGTCAGTATGGCTCTCCTCCGGCAGACGCCGCTAATATTGAACGACACGACAGAGAGTGCGTGCGAGAGAGACAGGAAATCAGTCTGAGCGTGACGTCGGGCGCTGCGTAGCCACTGCAAATTGATTTGTTCCTTTTGGCTAAAAAAATGGTCTGATCTGATCCAGATTCAACAATCTAATAGATATGGTCATTATCTATGATTCTGCGTTTTTAGTTTTCTCAAATCTGCAATATTGTGGATGCAACAGATTTTCGTCCTTTGTGGGGGCGGATGGGGGTGGGGCGAAATTCTGAGATATACGTTTTATAGTGACATCTTAAAGGAGTGTGTGCACCAAATTTGGTTACTCTAGCCTTAATAGTCTCTGAGATTTGTGGTTGCCTCAGATTTTCGTCCTTTGCGGGGGCGGAAGGGGGTGTGGCGAAATTTGGACAGGAAACGGTCAAGGTCCGATATCACAGGAGTGTGGATACCAAATTTGGTTGCTCTGGCTTTTATAGGTTCTGAGATCCTTGAACTCATATTTTGCAATTGGCAAAACCGACCATGAAACCTGTGTGTTAGAGTGAGACAGAGCGAGAAAGAGTGAAATTGTTTTCGTGATTCTGGCTGTAATAATTATACGATCTGGTTCAGATTTTGCACTCTAGAAGATATAGTCATCTTCTACGATTCTGCGTTTTTAGTTTTCTCGTATCGTCGAAATTGTGGATGCCACAGATTTTCGCCCTTTGTGGGGGCGGAAGTGGGCGGGGCAAAGTTTTGAAATATTTTTGGAGCAGTGACATATCACAGAAGTCTGGATCCAAAACATCGTTGCTCTAGCTCTTATAGTCCTTGAGCATTAGGCGCTGAAGGGGACGGACAGACGGACAGACGGACGGACGGACAGACAGACAGGGCTCAATCGACTCGGCTATTGATGCTGATCAAGAATATATATACTTTATAGGGTCGGAAACGATTCCTTCTGGACGTTACACACATCCACTTTTACCACAAATCTAATATACCCCAATACTCATTTTGAGTATCGGGTATAAAAATGTACATCTACTAAATTAAGACATATACTGCCCACAAAGAGAAATTAATAAAGCAACGCGCTTGGTTGCTGGCGGCTCACACCCCAGCCTCTCAGTTCCTCCCCTGTATGGAGCACTGAGTGCCCTCAACTCAAAAAAACTGTGTGAATCAATCTGACTTGACAAAATCTCCACTCGCGTCGGTCGAAAAAATTTATTACCAAATCCAACCAAAGCCAATCCAGCGCAGCTATGCCACGCGGTTCCACTGCCAGAAGAGGACGACGACGACGAGGACCACACGGCGTCACAGCCAGGGATCGCCCCAAATCAGCCATTTCCACTGCCAGCTCCGACAGCGCCGCCGACGGCGAAGCCAGCGCCGACAGCGCAGCCACCGGCGCCGGGGCAAACGCAGCGATACTGAGACGCCAATCCACCGACTCCGCTACCTGGTTGGAGGCACTTCCTCCAATTCCTGGACCGGCTCCAGCCACCATTACCGGGTATGTGAGGACCACAAATACCGACACCACCATCACGGCCACTCCAGCCACTCCGGCCACAAGCCCCATCCCCGACCTGCCCTGCCCCAACAGCTGGGCGGCCATTCCCAATCTCACCAGCCAGGAGCAGTTCCAGATCGGCGATTGGGTTGAGGCGGTCCATACCCAGGAACGCCAGCGGCAGCAGAAGCAGCAGAACATCAGCAGCAGCAGCAGCGGTAGTCGCCGGCTTGAGGCATTGGCGGCGTCGGCAGCGGCAGCGGCGTCAGCCAAAGCACCGCAATGTCAAGCACCGCTATGCCAAGCCAAGCCAAGCCTAGCGGTACCGAGCGCACCAATAATTCCGCTTCCCACACTCCAACACACACATACACGTATCGATGCACCGTATGCCGATGCTTCGTGTGGAGAGAGCCGGAAACAGCAAGGAACGAGAGAAGGCGCAAAGAGAGAGCGGGTAACGACCTCGTACCAGCGACAGTACGAGAGGGCACTCGAGCAGCCTCTACACGAACAGCAGCCAACACAAGATTCGTGCTCGAGTGCCCGTTCGGGAGCGAGTTCGAACTCGAACCACAGCCATGGCACAAACCCCGCTCGATCGGCCACAGCAGCGGTTCCAAATGCAATGCACACAGCCAATACCACAACCACAAATACAATGATGACATACATCAGCACACAAACAGCGACATCAAACACAAAAACGACAACTACAATTACGTCGGCAGCCAGACGATGCCTGTTAACAGCAATGTTAACAGGCGGACCCCCCCCACCACCGCCGCCAGAGGAACATCAGCAGCAGCAAACACATCAACAACAACAACAACATCAGCCAATAGCAACAAACACAGCCAATCCGTTCGCCACTGAAGCGCGTCCGCGCCGAGGTGGATGACGATGACGATGATGACAGTGATGACTCGGATGCTGCAGCGACAGCACCAACCAACGACAATTATTCCCCCCCCCATCATTCTGCCAGCTGTCCCCGACATTATGCCCATTCTGGACAAGCTGCAGAATGACCCGAGGGTGGGCAACAGTAGCTATCACACCAAGCTCATCAGCCGCAATGGTGTCCGTATCCAGGCCCGCGACATGGCTACCAGGGATGCCATCATGGCGGCTGGCATTGGCCCTGACGTTTTTTGTGGTGGCTGTGGAGCTGGGGCAACCACTGCTGCTGCTGCCATTGTTGGTGGATTTTCCGATGTCACTGGAACTGCTGGAGTTGCCGTCACTGCCTGGGATTGGATGAGCGAGGTGAGTAGTGACATCATCGCTTCCAGCCTCTTTTCCAATCGCGTCATCCTCTGCGTATTCTCCAACAGTGCCTGGCTGCAGGATCCCTCGCAAGATTGGCGTTTCGGCTGCATCTTCTGCCGGGAGCGGTTGTTGGCAAGCTGCTGCTGCTGCTGTCGCTGTTGTTGTTCGCGCTGCGGCTGCTGTTGCAGCTGCTGTAGCTGCTGCTGCTGTTGTGCCTGGGAACGGCTCAATGGCTGCTCTGGACGTCGTCGCCCAGTGCGTGGGCCAGAGGCAGCAGGCGTCTGTTTTTTTGTATGTATTGGCTGCTGCTGCTTCTGCTTCTGCTGATGTTGTTGTCCTCTTCGTCGCCCAGGAGAGGAGACATTGAGTGGCGTCCATGCTGCCTGCTGCTGCTGTCCGCGCCAGGGATTGGCTGGCGTTTGAGCTTGCTGTTGCTGCTGCTGTCGGCGCCCTGGATGTGCTGGTGTTGTTCTTGCTGGTGGTGGCTGCTGCTCTGGCAATGGCTGCAGAAGCGAGCTGCGCTTGCGACGCAACTCCTGCATGGCCACTCGGTGGGACAGAAGGCGGCCCCTTGCCGCCTGGGTTATGTCGCTTAGAGGTTGCCTTGGGTAAATTGGTGTTTCAAGTTCTTGGAGGAAGTCAAGTGTTATACAATTTGTTTGTATATATACATATATATATATATATATCTATATATATGTGTGTACGTGTTTGTATATATATATTGAGAATAGCTATCGTAGATCGTAGGGGCTACATGTATATGTATATCGTACGTGTATGCGTGTATGCTGAATGTATATATATACAATTAGTTTTAGAAACTTATTTTAGCAAGTAGATAGTGCGGGAAACAGACAATTGTTTAATTTATGTACATCAATTAATATTAGCAGAGAACGAAGGAACATTCAAAATTCACTATATACTCGTAAGCTGTGTGTGTGGTGTGTGTGTATGTTTGTTTGTTAGGTGTTGCAGAAAAAATGGCTTTCGGTTCGTTTCGATTCGGATTATACAGATATTTGACTCTATATGCTATATAGATTTAATATTTATCGCTTTGCTGAACAACGGAAATGTACAATACGTAGATGAGTAGATGACTTAGACCTCCGTCGACCGTGCGTTCTCATCGGAGCGTGAGGCCTTCCTCTCCCTTCCAGGGATTCGACCCGTGACCACGGCTCCTCCTCCTACTCCTGCTCCTCCGCCTCCCTGCTGCTGTAGCGCCTGCGCCTGAGCCTGCGCTTGGGCCTGGGCTTGCGCCTGGGCTTGCATTTGTGCCTGTTGCTGAAGCATTTGCTGCTGCTGCATCATGTAGGCGGCCTGCGACTTCTGCACAAAGTTGGCATGCGTGTACGCCTGCATTCCGGGCGCTGCATACACATTGTTGGGCGTGGCAATCGCCGCCGTTGGCGGCATGTTGAAACGCATCTTGGCAGCCGCCGCTGCATTGGCGGCAGCTGCAATGGCCGCCGCATTCTCCCGCGAGGCGCTGGACGTGGTGGTCGACTGGAAGGAGATGCTCATGCCGCTGTCCAGGGAGCCGACGCTGCCTCGTCGCTGGGGCTTCTCGTTGCCAACTGGAAGGAGACTCGGAATAAGACAAACGCTCTCACATATCAAAATTTGAGTCTGAGAACTCACATTGCTCGTGCATGTCCAGGAGACTGTTGCTGAGCGCACTGCGCTTCAGCTGCTGCGTGGAGTCGGCCGAGTTGCCAGCTGCCTGCTCGCCGGCTGCCTGGGAGCCGCCGCCGGGCTGGGAGCCATAGGGACAGGGACACACCTCCACATCGGCCACGCCACTATCGCGGTTCTCTGCGTTCCCCGGGGCCCGGTTGCGCGCCGACTTCTGGCGCTCCAGCTCTGCCTCGATGCGCAGCGATTCCATTTCGTCCATCTCGCTGATGGACTCCTTGAGATCCTCGGCAAACTTGCAGCGGTCGTGCTCGTTGCGGGCATTGAAGGTGATCAGGATCTTACCGTCGACCTTCTGCGACAGCTGGATGCAGAACGGATAGTTGGGCATGTCCAGCAGGGTCACCACCGTGCCGCAGAGCGGGAAGCTGTTGCGGAACGTGTACGTCACGGAGGTCTTCTTCTTGCTGAATATCTTGGTGATGACCAGCAGGTCGTTGAAGAGGAACACCTCGCGCTGGTGGACGCCCGGCCGCTCCTTCTTGTTCACGTCGGGTATCTCGTACAGGCGGCAATAGCAGACCAGCCGCCGGTGGGGCAGCGCCAGATTCGGCTTCTTGCCGACAATGGTGGCCTGCACCTTCATCACCTGGGTGACGTGGTCGCTGCCCGGCTTGAACTCGTCCGACTTGACGCGCTCATAGATGCCGCTCAGCATGTCCTTGTCAATGTCGTGGCAATCGTCGATGCCTCGCAGATTCTTGATGAAGTCCTCGACGCGCATGCGCCTTTCCGGCTTCAGATTGGGCGTGTGCAGATCCGTATTGAGCATAATGATGGCAAATGCCAGCACAAAGATCTGTAAACAAATATAAATCGGATTAGTAGGCGAACCTCCAAGGAGGGGAGGGGAGGGGAGACTCTACCGTATCGGATGATCTTAGGCGCCCCACAATGTCCGCATTGCACTCGCAGTAGCGCTGCGAGAAGATCTCCATCAGCCGCTCAATCTTCTGCGCCTCCCCGGGCATCCGGAAGTAGGCCTGGAACTTGCGCAGGGCCACGTCCACCTGGCGGCCGGACAGGTCCAGCTCCATGGCGAAGCAGCTGAGCACGGCCATGTTGAACTGGTTCTGCAGATTGCCCAGATACTCGCCGATCATCTGGCGGGAGAGGCCCTTGCGCGTGATCAGGAAACGAGCCACGCCCTGTGGCGTGTTCTCGAGGAAGCCCCTGCGGATGAGATAGGTGATGCCCTTCTCCGGCTTCTTGTTGAACAGATTGAGGCCCACGCGGTACTGCCGCTTGCGTATGGTCTCCGACATCTTGTAGTTCTGGGCCACGCCCGCGGCGGAGGCCGCTGCCTGCAGCTGCTGCTGCTCGTGCTGCTGCTGTTCGTGCTGCTCGTACTGCGCGGCGCTGGTGTGCGACGAGACGGCATGATCGTCCGTCGGCGGTACTCCGCCCGCCGCTGTGGCCGCTGCCACGGCCGCCTGCATCTGTGCGGCATAAGCTCCGGGCCCAGCAGCAGCTATGGCTGCTCCGGAGACCACAACGGCTCCACCTCCACCTCCGCTGGGCACCGAGACCGATACCGAGTCGGCCGAGTGCGTGGAGAACTGCTGGGAGCTGTTCAGGGCCGTGCCACGCTTCCACGTGTGGGGGGAGTTGCTGCGGTCCGATCCGAGGTCGCTGTTCATGTTCCGCTCCGCCGAGGTGACGCTCGAGTCTGAGCCGGAACTCTGGACGGAGGTCAGGCTGCCGTTCTCCGCCGTCTTGCAGAGCCCGTTGGTCCGCAGCAGCGACGGGGGCGGCGGTGTCTGGCGCTGCAGCAGCAGCAGCTGGCTCTGCTGCTGTGCCGTGATCGAAGAGGTGCGCTTGGGCACCTCCGGCGGAACCTTCTTGCAGCTGCCGCTGCCACTGCCGCTGCCGCTGCCCGTGCTGCCGCTGCAGCTGGGAGTGGGCGTGGTGCTGCCGCCCTTGGGGCGCATGTAGATCTGTGCCGCCGAGTAGTAGGGGCGTGTGGGGGCTGTGCCCGCTGGCGTTCACCCACGAGGCGTTCAGCGAGACGTCCGCGGAGCTGGCGTAGCTCAGGTCGTGCGGGGAGCCGTGGTAGCTGGTGTAGTAGACGGCTCCCTGGGCATTGTAGTAATGCGGCTCGGCCGCGTGCAGCAGATTCACATGCGGATGGGAGGCCATTCCGCCAGCGGTGGCTGTGGATCCCGAAATGGAAACGGGAGAGGCGCCTGCAAAAAGACAGAGGAGTTGGATTAAGCAAAGGATCACAAGCAGGGGAGAGAGTGATTCCTTACCCGATTGACTACGTGGTATGGGACTGCAGTCCAGCTGTCGTCGCTCCCGCATCGACAGAGAGCGCGAC